GTGATCCCCTAACCCTATCTCTAGTGCCTCCCTCATCTCCTCCACCTCCTCACTCATTCAACGACGAAACCTCTCGATCTCTTCTTCCTCTTGCTCCTTCAATGAAGACGAAACCTCTTGCCGACGACAAGGCTTTTCTCGTCCTTTATCTTCGCTAAGGACATGTTCCTCTGCTCCCATATCTCCCCTTGTCGACGAAGGAAATCCTAACCCTATCTTCACCTACAACGCCTTTCCACCTTCTAAATTCTAACTCCATTTGACGAAGATGAAACCTTCTAAATCCTTACTCCTGCAACTCTTCATTTCTCCTTCACGTTTGAAAATTTTGATGATATTAATTATTGAAGTCATTATGAATAGTTTCTATTTATTAAATATCTAAATAATTAATAAAAATATAACCTACGTTATACGTTACGACTCTTAACAGAAGGTAGATCATTACGTAATGTGGTGTTGTTATTTTTAATATTATTCATACTCTATTTCTAGCTATCAGTTGTATGTGTTGGAGAAGGAAAAATGTAGAGTTATTGATGAGGACATCACGGGCAGATTCGGACGTACCTACCGGCGTAGGAAACACCCTTTGGTAGACAACATGACTATTTGACTTTGATTTTCAGATTGAGTAGTTAATTCAATTTACCAGTTTAGATTTGAATTTTGAATTGAGGTTTAAATTTAGTAGTTAAATAGTTTTTAGTATTTGAGTGATTTGTGGGATTCTCAAATTTGTCTTTTTTGTTTCTTTTTGATTAATGAAGATTTGGATCAAAAAAATAGTGTTAGCTGATTTTTGGTGTGAAGCCTATGGTGTGAAACCCTAGGCCGACTCTCTCCCTCCTTCGTAGCCGTCGAGATCCTCCAAACCGCCTGCTCTCTTCTCCACAAGCGCTGCCCCTGTTCCTCCTACTCCCCTCCACCGAGCCCTTGCAACCTTCACCGGCCACCGCCCCATTACTTCTCTTTCACGATTGCCGAACCCCCTGCTTCCTGCTCCACCTCCAAAGCCGCCCAACCGCTGCCTCCTCCTGCTCCTCCACAACTGCTGAAACCCTCTATGCTCTCCCTCAACTTCGAGCAGTCGACACCACATCCTTCCCTGCCCTCCTTCATATCCGATCCGTTGCCACTTCCCCATAAGCCGTCACCCCGCCCCTGCCCTTCTCCACAAGCCGCCGATTCCTCCCTGCTCTCCCTCAACTTCGAGCAGTCACACCGACCTTCCTTTGCCCTCCACTTCCGAGCAGTCCCGATGCCGCCTGCGTCCTCCCGTCATCCGCACATCTAGTCGTTGCGAAGTCCCCGCCCTCGTCCTGTTGTCGCTTGACAGCCCAGTTCGACGTCGTCGCACACGTCATCATCCAGTTTGTCGTCACCCGCTTCGTCTTCATCTACCCGTTTCATCGTCGTCAGATCTCCGCTTCGCTTGTCGCTGATTCGAGTTCTGTGTCCGCGGTCCATTAGTGCATGACCGATCCTGCAGCCGAAGACGCCCAGTTTGTGTACGATCTAGAGACCGGCGTGATAGATTTGCAGCTCTCTCAGTGGTTCGATTATTAGCCCTTCGACACTCTAGTAGAGTACGTTGATTGCGTGACCCCTCAGATCGCTGATAGCGTGGACAGTTGTTTGGGAATTAGTTCATGCCATCGGCGCTTCCACCCAGACGCGCCACTTCACCCTAGTTACGTAGCTCTCGTAGGAGAACTCCCTCGCCTCATATTTGGCGTCGTCGCATCACCTCCAGAGGTCCCTCATGTCGAGCCCGTTCAGATCGACGAATGTTTCGTTTTCTTTCGACCCAGTATTTTAGGAACTGCTATCGCGTGCATGTTATTATCAATTTTAATATTAATTGTGATTGTGTTGTATTCTTCTTGATTAGTGAGCAAGTGACTCTGTTTGCCGCGTATATCTGCTGATCTAAATATTACAAGTCGAACTTTATTACGAGAACGAATCATTACATTTATTTTCTGAATAATTTACAAGGCCATAAACTTAGTACATTGCAATCTTTGTTAAACCCATTTAAAACTTCACTTTCTTCTCGAGCTTCCTACCTAGATCGATCGCTGATTTTCTCGAGTTTCCTACCTAGATCGATCGCTGATTTGGTGAAACATTGTTGCTGATCTTCATACCTGCATGCACATTTGTTTCACATCAGTTATTGTTAACAAGTACTTAACAAATATTATAATTTATCAAAACAGCAGACCATTGTTAATATATAAACTTGAAATCCACTTTCTTTTTATTTAAACAAATTATCAAAACTAGCATCTAGGAACTGACATAGTAAAACATAATTTTGTCTTTACATCTTGATTCCAAGTATGTCATATTTATCGTGTCTAAAAGGATACATGCTACTTGTGAACGCAAAGCCAAGATTAGCGTCACAAAATTAATTATAAATTAAATTAAATAATGAACATCTAAACCAAATTTAATGCTAATGGACAACTACCAGAAATGTACAAAATAATGAAAATTAAATTACAAGCAAAACTTTACAAAAACAAGAATTCTACTAAATACTGTAAATTAAATTACCACCAGAACATAAATTGCTGCCAGAATTCTACTCAACTGACTACAAGAGAGCTAGACTAGATTCCAGTGCAAGCTGTAATTTTTTAATCAAAATCTCAATGCTACAGTGTAAATGCAGGATTCTATCTGAAATTTATGTTTTTTCCCTTCCAATATTAAAGCTTCAAGTGAAATAGAGTGCAGGCAGAACTAAACAAAACAATGCAGGACTTTTCTCTAAATCTAACAAGCTTCTTATTATCAAACCAATGCTATTGTAGGCTGATCAAATCATCGATACAACAAATGCCACTGTTACATTGACCCACAAATTCCACTATTCAATATTCAATAGGAGTTGCAAAATTTTTGAACTACTTAAGAATTTAGAAAAAATGAAAACTGGATTATAACTTTGGTTTGAAAACCCTAAACATGAGGGGAAAAGGGAAAATCCTTGAAAGAGTTCTCAAAAGCAGAGATGACGATGAAGTGAAGATGCGGTGGAGATACCGGAGAATTCTAGGGGTTTGACAATTCTAAGAAACGAGGATGAAGTGAAAGGAGTAGGATTGATTAGGGTTTTTGATTTTAGTTGAGAATTCTAGGGTTTTGAGAATTCTATCAAAAATAATAAGTGGTGCTTTAAGAATTTTATTGAAAATAATAAATGGTATTAGTTAACTTATTGGCGGGCTAAGAAAAAAATTGAGCACTCAGATTTTAACCCACCAAAGTCAATGGTTCACTATAATCTCTCGTAAAGCCCAATACAAATTATGGGCCAATCAGAACAGTTTTGAGGAACCGCTCCTTAGCCCAAATGATGCAGTTAGAACTGTTACAGAAACGTTGCATTAGTCGTCAAACACAATGGTTGGAACCACTGCCGCACAACCGTTGCAATACGTCCAAAATGTGGTAGTGTTATGGTAGGATAGTGGTTAATTAGGGAATTTACCAAATCTATAATCAGTCGATCTAATCATAATATTGCATAATTTCTCTCTAATTTTTTCTCTAGTAAATTCTTGTTGGGGTTTGCACTTGCACGTGGGTACAACTGCTATTGCATCCAAAAATGTTATTTCAACTGCTATTGCATCCAAAAATATTAGACATGACAGAGTATTTCCTTGATTTTATCAGCCTATATTTAAATGGACTAATTTCAAAGCATCTAAAAGATCTGAGGACTAATATGGAAGATAAATCCCATATACACATCATATTTTAATGTAATTTTCTTTCCAGTTCAAGTAGAATAGAAAATGAGGTTTCAATTCTCATGTAGTTTTGCATTCAATAGTAGAAGTGGTGACTTGAGTTTTATATTTTCATGTGATTTTACAGTTTGTGATAGAATTGTGAACTGGATCTTTCAATTTCATAAAATTTAACATTAAAAACTAGGTATGCAAAATGAGTTTTATATATTCATGTACTTTTGCAATTACTTTATAAATGTGATAGTTCAAATTGTTTCATTTCTTATTGTTGTTTGGAAATCATAAGTTCAATAATAAAATTTATAGGGTATTGTCAATTTGTCAGGTCTTCAAAAAGATAATGGCTCGTAGTTTGTGGTAACAGAAAAACCAACTTTAATTAATACATTTTTAAAAAGAAATTTTCGAAAAATTGAAGCATGTTGATTCATTTATGTGTGCATACATTGAAATGATTTAAGTATTCACGAAGATATTTTTTGTAAAACATTTATTTTTAGGCTCTTTCACCTACTTACATATATGAAATTTATTTTGCACTGTCATATTTGATCATTTTTTTTCATTTATGTATAGTGTGATGGTTATATTTTGGTCCCTTGGAAAATAGTCCTGATTTCTGCCACCGTCTGTGAAGTCTCATTGTTATTATGTGCGTCGAGGATTTTCTCTTTGTGGGTACTTGTTTCGCTCAGTCTGAGACCCTGGAAGGAAAAAATAATCAGTGCCTGCATATTTAATGTACACTAGTTTTGAAGTATCTTGTAAAGATACAGTACATTTTCTCAAAGCACCTTTTGACTGTATTTTTACTCCAGCAAATACTGTATCTTTGTTTTTGGCACAGTTTTTGATTCTAGTGAACTGAAATTTCATCTGGCTTAATAAATTATGCGTGTATACAAAAGTAGAAGTTTCCTATAGGTAATAATAGGTTATCTTGCCAAAAACTCATTAGAATGTCGAGTTTGGTCTGGTCACTGGAACTTTTGTTGAATCATTGATTATGTTGCCATGTAGTTTGTCTAGTTCCAAATTAGTATTCTTTACCTTTACCCTTAACTCTGTATTCGTCTATTTGTGGTTGTTTTTTGTGCTTAAAATCATTGTTCTTACATGAAATATCTCTCGTCTAGTAATCAGGAAGTTGCAACTTTGTCATGGTCGTCATAATAATAGTAGTTGGACCTTCTGCTCTTATTATGTTTTCACATGTTTCTGCAGATTAACTTTTCCAACCATGGAGTGTGTCATGGTTTCGCTCTTTGGATCGACTGGGTGTTGGATGAAAGAGAGCCCATTATTTTGTCAACTGGCCCAGGTTAGCATCAATCCTTGGATTTAAAATTCTTGATCTCTAAATTTTTAATCTAGTATTGTAATTTTGAATATTTAAATTTCTAGTTCTATGCTCTTCATTGATATTATTTATTGAAATTCTTGTATATTTCAGTTAGCCGATATTGGAAACAAGGAGTGAAGCTCTTAAGAAAGCCCGTGGAAGTCAATTCTTGTGAAAGTTCTGCAGATATAGAGGCATCCTTTAATCCTACGACGGGTGAAATCACCATTAAATCCTCATTCTCGTGATGTATTCTTGTTTTAAACCCTTGTTCTTGTGTGAATTAATTGTCAACTATTTATTGTATCATTCAAGTGTTTGAATTAGGTTGTATCATGTGCCAATGCCCTTTACCGTTTATGTAATTAAGTGTATGTAACTCTGGCAATAATCTTTCTATCTATACTAGATACTGATATATACTGAAGTAAAACCTTAAATAGCCACTTGGCAACCTATGGTTATTTTGGCTCTTTATTCTCTTTTGTTGCGTTAGATTTATGTTTTTTTATACTTTCCTCTGCTTCTTCTTTACACGACCTCTCCACTAATCTAATCCAATTAACTTTCATGTAATAATATATAACTAATAAATAATTTAATAACTAATATTTTAGAGAAACGCTTCTTTTTGCAAACAACAATCCGATCACATGTTCTTGTGAATTAATGCTTCTTTTTGCAAACAACAATCCGATCACATGTTCTTGTGGATTAATAATTACCATCTAATTTTAATTGTAGTCCTTTCAATTCTTTGCCTTAACTTATTTTTATCTGCTCTCTAGAATTTTCTTCTCTTCAAATTATGATTTTTTACATTTATCTAAATTGCATGAACCTTTCTCAATGGCAGCATGCAACATTCATCATGATTGAAACTTTATATTCATTCTGAGTGATTTGTGTGACATTATTTTCTTTCCTTCATCATCTTCTAATTTTTGGCTAAAATATTTTTTTTTATATTTTTTAGGTATTGCGGTCGTTGGCTACGGCTTCAAAGATAGCTTAAATAGATCATATCATCAATACTATTAATTTCTAACAATTCATAGCCTTTTACTTTAATTAGTTGAAATGTACGTGCAATGCATGTGATTGAATATCATGATTATTTAAATTGATAAAAATAGAGTAAAAATAAAAAAGGAAAACAATTTTTTTTTGTGGGATTGATCATCAACTTAATAATCTCTCTCAAATAAAATATTGTATTTGTTTCCTTCAACCTAAATTGTAGCCATGTGATCTACTATTTATGAATTATAAATATATTAATATAGTACAACATCTTTATTTATTTGTATATTGAATTCTTCAAAAGATGGGTGATCATTTAATTCACAAAGGAATTTTGTATATGAATTTACTTGTAATATGTCCATTAAACTCTTAGTTGTGGTTTAACTCATATTCACGTTAAATTTTTAGTTTATCTTTCACTCATATTTATATTATCTAATATTCTCATTCAATTTTATAGCTCATTCTCTGTATCATAGAAGTAAAACTGAAAGTATGCAGAATTATTTTTTTACGAAATTAGAACAATGAGATTATGATATATTTCGCCATGTGCTCTAAATATAATTTTTTTGATGCAAGCTCCTTATCAAATCTTACCCCAAACGATGTGAATAAAAAATGCTATTATAACTCACTTGTCTAGGACAATTGTATTGTATACAGGATACATAACTCATGTGGAATATTGATGCGGCATAATTATGTACCAAAAATTGTAAGTGCACAATTTATCAAGTTATAATATAAAAAGATATCGATCCCACGAAGAAGGTGATTTTAAGAGATTATTAAACTTGGTTCTTATATTTTGTGCATGACAATTAGGAATAGAGAATAAGTATGAATGTGATGAGTGATTGTTGTGAATATTTGCAAAAGATAATAAATTGAATTTTAGAGGAGAGAAGGAAGAATTAAAGAATAAATAAAATCACAAGGCAAGAAATATGAATTAATAAAATCAAGAAATAAAACTAAGAATGAAAAGAAAATTTAAGAAAGTCAAGATGGAGGATTCAAAAGAGGTAAGAAATCTAGAATATAATCCACTAACCAATTTCAATTACAAAATATAAACTATTCTCTTTTTATCATATTTCAACTTAGATTTATTAAGCATAGATTATCAAACCATTTAAGGAAAGTGTAACCTATCAAATTATCATCTAAGCTAAAATTACTATTCATGATAAGAACAATAACATGATAATAATCCTAGAATTCATAAGCATAACCTATCAAACCATTTAAGATAAGCATAGATTATCAAATTCTTCTTCTACCGATTAGTTCTCTAGTTGATTATCCTAACATGAACATTTTAAGTACAATAGAATAATTCATACAATATAAAGGAAATTAGACTAGTTTCATATAATTCTAAACTTCCTACAAGAATTAAATTCACATCTTTAAGAAAAACAAGAAAAAGAACTAATTACAAAATTAAAAAGAAAATAAAAATCTAAACTATGAACAAGAAATAAATCTAATTACAAAGAAAAATAAAAATCTAAACTACAAAATAAATTACAGAAATTAAATGCAAGAAAAATAAATCTACTCTACAAATTAAAGTGCAAAAAGAAATAAAAAAGATAAGAAAATAAATCTACACTACAAGCATGAATTTAAATCTAACTAATAAGCAATAATAAAGAAATTACTAAAAAGAAATAAAAGAGAAAAGAAATACAAACCTTCAAATTACTCTTCATCTCCATCCTTATCATTCAACAAAGAGGAGAAAGAACAAATTTAAAGAGGAAAAATTATTATTATTAATTGCAACTAAAGTTCCAATTTTTGGAAGGCCTTCTCAATTAAGAGTACCCCTCCTCTCCAAAAGGAGTTTACAAAATTTTCACACCTCTAACCCCTCACTCTCTACCCCTATTTATAGTAATCTTCAATGAATATGAGCCATTGGATTTGTCTTGAGCCCCAAGCCACAATCTTCACCTTTGAATTTGCTTTTTTTTGTTCTTCTCTAGCCCAAATATAGGAGGCCCACATGATTCAATTGATTTTTAAAAGAAAAATGAAAATCCAATCACCAAAGTCTGGCCCAAAATGATTTTGATTTTCAAAATCATAAGTCCGGTCCTCATTTGGTCCAAGAAAAGCATCCAGCAGTCCGGTGTTGATTGGAGTTTCCCATTTGATTTTTCGAAATTGGTGAGCTGCAAAATTCGGTTCATTTCCCATTGATTTCATATGCAGCAGTCAAACATTTCTTCATTTGATCAAAAAAAACCAAGCAAGCCCATCAAGTCTTCATTTGATCTTCCAAAAGAAAATGAGTAGGATGGCCGGCCCAACTAAAATCAAGGCCAATGCAATTAATTCCAATGCTGCAGCAAAGTTCTTTTGGCCCATTTTATTTTCCAAGTCTCCCATGTGATTAAAACTCAAAGGTGCAGCAATAAACTCCAAAACCGGTCCACAATGTGAAATTCCCTTTGCTTTTGAAAATCAAATCCATCCCATGAACTCCGGTCTCCTATGCAAATCTGATGAAGAGTTCGGTCCATTCAGTCCAATGAAAATAAACACTGCAGCAATATTGGCATTTTGAAAGTTCGGTTTTGATTCTTTTAGCAAGTCCGGTTCCTATTTATTTAGGAAAAATTAATAATGCAGCAGGTCCGATCTCCATTTGTATAATCTCTTGTTGATAGGCTTTGGGCCATCATTTGCTTGATGGGCTTTCAATATAGGCTTCTAAAATGCTGCAAAATAGAGAAGAGAGATTTTGAGGGGTTTTTACATTTAATAATATTTATTTATATTTTCATTCAATTATGTGGAAACTAAGCTAACAACAATTATTAATGGTATATTTATTCATATAAAATAGATAATGAGGATATAAAATTATAATAAAAATATGATTATCAAATATCCATATCTCCTTAGTGGATTTTACTATTGTAAGAGCAACATGTTAGAGGCTCGTATTCAAACTTTTTAGATCTACAAAAACACAATAATTTGGAGTGCATAGCTTATATATCGTAAAGAACATATCGATTCATGAAGAATTTTCCTAATAATGATGCTATTACAAAGATATTACTATTCAATATTAAAATAATTTTATTATATAAGATTATATGACTCTTTTAATATATTATAAAGTATGTATATGGAAACCTCAATTCTTATAGCGAGTAGTTGGGCTCCACAAAATAGGTTAACTTTACATTATAGCTTGCTACTTATAGTACTATTGGCAATGTCATTACCTTTCATCTTTATCTTATTATTCACACTTTTTTGATGTAGGTTCTATTTTGCTAATCATTCAATTGGCTATATTTAGTTTTTATAATATCAGAGGTTAGAATATTCTCTTCTATTTAAAAAGTATTGATAAGATTTTCTTAAAAAATATATACATATAGTAGCAATAGTATATACTTCAGTGCAACTCAAACATTAACTTGAAGCATATTTAGAGTGAGGTTCTTTCTATGCTAGAATGGTGATTTGGTGATTACACAATCTAAATGTCAAGGAAAAAATTTGTACAAAGGAAAAGTAATTTAATATGTCAAATTAAGAACTAATTTATAAAATATACATGGACAGTGCAGATAGCTATAGAAAGTAATGTATATATCTTAATAAAAATTCCATAGTGAGTGACCAACTACAATCATCCTAATTTAAGCATAAATAATTATTATTTTAGTTACTAATTTGATACGCTTAACTATGGAATAAATCTCTAGTAAAAAATAGGAATTAAGATTGTATTATGATATAGGTAAATAAATAAATATTATTAGAGCTCATCTTTATATTAAATTTAAAAGTAGTAATTTAAATTATTATATTTGCGTCAGAAATCTTTTTCATTGCGGAATCCATTACAACGTGATTACAGATTAAAAAAAAGTTAGTCTTTTTATAAGACTTTCTTACATCACAACGAAAATAAACAAAGACTTCCTAGAAACACACGCAGAATAGTTTATCATCGCTACTTGTGCGGGATCTTTGTCTGTACCGGGGATTCTTTGATCCTTGGACCGCCAAGAATCAAATCCGGTTGATTTTATTCCTAAAAGAAACAAGAACTGAAGTAAATATCCTAACAAGGTGAGATAAGTACTCTTCTCAAGATCAAAACGAAGTCAGAAACAAGAACTGAAGTAAATATCCTAACAAGGTGAGATAAGTACTCTTCTCAAGATCAAAACGAAGTCTGATCTTAAGGAACTGATGCAGATCCTAACAAGGTGAGATAAGTACTCTTCTCAAGATCAAAACGAAGTCTGATCTTAAGGAACTGATGCAGGTGTGCCAAAAGGTTGCAGATCTGTCGAACTCCTCCTCTTTATGCTGAAGAACTCATCAAGATCTCCTCCTCCTTTCTGAAATTCGTGGCTTAGCTCTCTCAAGGTCAGCA